TCTTTCTTGGAATCCGTTTCCAAGAGACAACAGTTTGCGAGCACGCACCCGACGGTGCAGAAGCTGAACGTCCTCCTGCCCAAGTTGCTGGTGCTGCAGTCCCTCTCTTTCCAAGTGGTGGACTCAGCACCTTTCCGAGAAATGATGGCTTGTGCCGCGCCGCGGTGGAGAGTGCCAAGCCGGCATTTCTTCGCCAAAAGGCAGTGCCAGCCCTGCATTCACATGTAGAAGAGATGGTGGGCCAGTCTTTGAGCATGTCGGTCTCTGCCAAAGTGCACGGCAGCGCCGACGTGTGGAGCTGTAACTACGGTCAGGGACAGTACATGTCATTTACGGCCCACTGGGTGAACGTGGTGCCGGCACAGCCGCACCAGCAACTTGGACAGGTCACGCCGCTTTTGCCTCCACGTTTTGCACGTCCTTGGTCCAGCAAAGATTTCCGCCTCTACCACCTCTTCTTCCGCCGTGTCCTCAGCCGTCACCCCCGTGCCAAGTCCCATTACCTGACCGGCATATCACATGTGCAGGGCGCAACGGTGTCACGCTGTGCTGCACCTGGTATGCCTTGGCGAACGTAGTCACACAGGGGAGGAACTTCTGAGTGTAATAAACAGAGAAATCGACAGATGGCTGTCTCCGCGCAAACTGAAAATCGGAACCATGGTGACCGACAACGGAAAGAACATGGTGTCTGCTCTGCGTCAAGGAAGGTTGTGCCATGCGCCATGCATGGCTCACGTGTTCAATCTGGTTGTCAAGCGGTTCCTAAAATCCACCATCCCACTGCAAGACATCCTTAAAATGTCACGTAAACTTTGCATGCATTTCAGCCATTCCTACACCGCAAAGCACACCCTCCTTGAGCTGCAGCGGCAGAACGGAATTCCACAGCATCGCCTGATCTGCGACGTTGCAACAAGGTGGAATTCAACCCTACATATGTTAGACCGCCTTTACGAACAGCGAAAGGCCATCACCGATTTCCTGATGTTACAAGCGGATAAAGGTACTCCCCTGTGTAACTTAGATGTCAGCCATTGGCAGCTCATGCGTGACACCTGCCGCTTGCTCAGGCCCTTTGAGGAGGCCACGCTATTCGTGAGTCGGCAGAACTATGGATGAACGACGTCATTCCTCTGTTGCACGTCCTGGAACAAATGCTGTTAACAATGGCTGGTCAGGGTGCGGTAGACGTGGCGCACAGATCTCAACGCCACATGACCCCTGTGGGGGGCAGGACAGGAAGAAGAGGAGGAGGTAGAGGAGGACATTGGTGCTCAGGAATTAGTGAGTGAAATGGGTGGTTTTTCCACTCAGCGGACAGGAGTGGAGGAGCAGGAGCATCTGGTAGAGGAGGAGGAGGAGACAGAGGACCCAGACGCACCGTGGCAGTATGCTGTGGAGATGGAGGCAGGGAGTCCCTCGCATTCCTTGGCACAAATGGCCCATAGCATGCTCGGTTGCTTGCGTAGCGACAGCCGAATAATAACCATCAGACAGAGGGATGACTTGGATGACTTTTGGCTGTCCACCTTGTTGGACCCTCGCTACCGTTCAAAAATGGTGGCCTTTTTCACACCTGCTGAGGGGAGACAAAATAAAGTACTATAAAAACCACCTATGTAGTCAGTTGGTCTCTGCCTTTCTGCGCCAACGTCCATCCTCAGACATTGTGGGCCCTGTGCGCTTGCGTTTCCGCTGCCATGGCAGCAGGGGAGGGGTGTGGGGTGGTAGGAGCAGTGGTAGCTCCACCAGCAGCGGCTGCCTCAGTCTGCAGTCGATGATGAGTAGCTTTCTTCACCAGCGCAGTGTGGAAACTACTAACCAGCCGCAGCAGCAGCAGCATCAGGTGGACCTGGAGCAGGACCTCAAACAACAGGCTTAGGCCTACTTGGACAGCACCCTGCCAACCGAGGTAGACAATCCCCTTGACTACTGGGCAACGAAACTTGACCTTGGCCCCAACTAGCTGAATTTGCCCTTGAAAGGCTGTCATGCCCGGCCAGTAGCGTAGGCATCGGAGGTTTAGCGTGCGTGTTTAGTGCGGCAGGAGGTATTGTAACTCCGCGGAGGACACGACTGTCCACCCAAAGTGTGGAGAGACTCACGTTTGTGAAAATGAATCAGGCGTGGATTAGTCTGGATTTCAAACCACCAGTTCCTGACACAACTGACTAAATCCGCCATGAATCATGCCCAAAACATGTTATTATTTTTAACATAGGCCTCTGTATGGCCTTCAATTTAAGCTGCTTACGCTTTGCCACTCTGCCATGGGCCCCTGTACCGCCTCCTCTTGCTGCTGCCAGGTCCAGAGTGTGTCATGGGTCCCTGTACGGCCTCCCATTGCTGCTGTCTCCATCGCCACACTCTGCCATGTGCCACTTTCAGGTCTCCTCACCCTGCTGGTGGGTTCCATTTTGTCATAGGGTGCTGGCAGATTACGGGCCTCCCATTGCTGCTGCCAGGCCCGTAATCTGCCATGGGCCCCCGTACCGACTCCTCATGCTGCTGCCAGGCCCGTAATCTGTCATGGGCCCCTGTACCGCCTCCTCATGCTGCTGCCAGGTCCAGAGTGTGTCATGGGTCCCTGTACGGCCTCCCATTGCTGCTGTCTCCATCGCCACACTCTGCCATGTGCCACTTTCAGGTCTCCTCACACTGCTAGTGGGTTCCATTTTGTCATAGGGTGCTGGCAGATTACGGGCCTCCCATTGCTGCTGCCAGGCCCGTAATCTGCCATGGGCCCCCGTACCGACTCCTCATGCTGCTGCCAGGCCCGTAATCTCTCATGGGCCCCTGTACCGCCTCCTCATGCTGCTGCCAGGTCCAGAGTGTGTCATGGGTCCCTGTACGGCCTCCCATTGCTGCTGCCAGGCCCGTAATCTGCCATGGGCCCCCGTACCGACTCCTCATGCTGCTGCCAGGCCCGTAATCTGTCATGGGCCCCTGTACCGCCTCCTCATGCTGCTGCCCAGGTCCAGAGTGTGTCATGGGTCCCTGTACGGCCTCCCATTGCTGCTGCCAGGCCCGTAATCTGCCATGGGCCCCCGTACCGACTCCTCATGCTGCTGCCAGGCCCGTAATCTGTCATGGGCCCCTGTACCGCCTCCTCATGCTGCTGCCAGGTCCAGAGTGTGTCATGGGTCCCTGTACGGCCTCCCATTGCTGCTGTCTCCATCGCCACACTCTGCCATGTGCCACTTTCAGGTCTCCTCACACTGCTGGTGGGTTCCATTTTGTCATAGGGTGCTGTATGGCCTCCCATTGCTGCTGCCAGGCCCGTAATCTGCCATGGGCCCCCGTACCGACTCCTCATGCTGCTGCCAGGCCCGTAATCTGTCATGGGCCCCTGTACCGCCTCCTCATGCTGCTGCCAGGTCCAGAGTGTGTCATGGGTCCCTGTACGGCCTCCCATTGCTGCTGTCTCCATCGCCACACTCTGCCATGTGCCACTTTCAGGTCTCCTCACACTGCTGGTGGGTTCCATTTTGTCATAGGGTGCTGTATGGCCTCCCATTGCTGCTGCCAGGCCCGTAATCTGCCATGGGCCCCCGTACCGACTCCTCATGCTGCTGCCAGGCCCGTAATCTGTCATGGGCCCCTGTACCGCCTCCTCATGCTGCTGCCAGGTCCAGAGTGTGTCATGGGTCCCTGTACGGCCTCCCATTGCTGCTGCCAGGCCCGTAATCTGCCATGGGCCCCCGTACCGACTCCTCATGCTGCTGCCAGGCCCGTAATCTGTCATGGGCCCCTGTACCGCCTCATGCTGCTGCCAGGTCCAGAGTGTGTCATGGGTCCCTGTACGGCCTCCCATTGCTGCTGTCTCCATCGCCACACTCTGCTATGTGCCACTTCAGGTCTCCTCACACTCCTGCTGGGTTCCATTTTGTCATAGGGTGCTGTATGGCCTCCCATTGCTGCTGCCTCCACCGCCACACTGTGGCTCCACACTCTGGTTTTGGCCCCGTGACTGCCCAAATGAGTGAAGTGTGCGGTGATTCTAAGATCGACGGCACTCATCTGCATGTCATACTGACTGACAGTATTATTTCTCTTCCCCAGCAGACTCCAAGGGCATTTAAATTAAAGGTACAGTGTTCTGCACTAATATAAAGGCTCTCTGAAGCCTAGAAACACCCTTTTTATAAGTTAAATTCGCAGCGAATATATTCGACTCGAATTGAATTTATTCCGCGAATTCGCCGAATCGAATTTTTGAATAATTCGCTCATCTCTAACCTTGACTATACGTTGTACAATGCACTTTTGGCCGCAAATTTACCCCTGTGTAAACAGTGTATGTTTAGTGTTACTTTAAAGGATAAACACAAGAGCAAACATGTAAAATATTGAAGCTTACCAGTACTTAGATGTGGTGGCGGCATTAGTTGCCATTTTGTAGACTAAGAACATTATCAGTGAGTACAGAATATGCCAGGTGGTCTTGCCAGAAATGTAGAGAGCTGAAATGAAAGCACACAGTTTTATCTTTCTGTCTGTATCATACTAATTCCTCCACCCCCCTCCCCATGTAATGGAGAAGAATAGAGAAACAACTATTTATAGTCCGAATCAAGAGGGCAATCATGACGTCTTCCAAAGGTACAGTAGAGTAAATAAGCATGTCATCCAGAGAGAAGTAGTGTATTATTCACAGAATTATCAGGTGAAAATATTGGGAATGCGTCTGAAAAAGAAAACTAATGAAATCACCATATCTAAGGATCGATGCAATATATTACATTTTTGGTTTAGATACATCTTTGTTTCAGAAACTACATGGGTCTGATTTTATACATGTTTTCCATGCTTCCAAAACAGGCTAAAACCTTTACATCGAAAAAAATAAGTTGATAAATAAGGACAGTACTTATCTTCCATACTGTCATAGTAAATGACCATTTCATAGGTAATTAAAGCCATGGAGAATATGCAGTATTAGTAGTATTTCCTATCTGTACAGTAAATTCAGTACACAGTTTTCATCTCGTTTTCAGGCTTTTTCCAGGATTAAACATCATTACAGAATTGACGCATCCAGCAAATATGAGGTTCATGCAGTTCAAGGCCAAAGATAAATATTCAGTGGTGCTGTCTAAGCTGGAGAAGGTACACGCTGTGACTGTCTCTTTCCTCATCTCTGACTGTCTCTGTGATGTCTGTCTCCTCCCTGTGTCTTCTGCTCCTCTTCCTAATCACTCCCTCAAAGCTCTGTCCTCTCGCAGAGGGAGCGTGAGCGGGGATCTAATCTGGTCTTCATGTTCAGACTGCCGTTTGCTGCTGGAAAGGTCTTCAGTGTCAGCATGCTGGATACACTCCTATACCAGGTACCCCAATCATCCTTGATCTTTCCTGGTACTCCACAGGTACTCTTCTTACAATTACATGAATTGCTCCTTGTAACATATTCTTTTGACTATGACTACTCTGTATTAAACATTCTGTAACTCCTACTCTGTTGTATAATGCACATGAAAAAATATAAATGGTGTAGCGCTAAATCGTATTTGATATGCATATGTAAAATAATCATACACACATGCAAAATCTTAACAGATAAATAAACATAAAAACACACAGATAAACATACATAAAACAACACTCCCCTTGAGTGTCCCCAATATAAACGGGAAACCAATAAGTGACTCAATTAATATACAGTGGTTGAAATACAAACTCATGCAAGCATAGCACACTTATTATGTGGTAATAGTGAATAACCTTGACAAAGTCACGTGGTATCTGTGACGCAACGTGTTGGTACGCCCTTACGACATTTCCGGAACGCGATGACGTCATTTCCGGCGCACGCGCCATATTGGGACTCCAAACATACCTATGCTATCAGGATGTCATGAGGCTTTTTTTTCATGCGCGATATCGTCTGTGAAGATCATGACCCTCTGGTAAAGAGTCAGCATCAGATTAATCAGTGGCTGGAGGAGATTTGGAAGACAGCGCCTTGATGTGGTTTCCAGTATGGTCTTCTAGATCAGGTGGTCCCTGAGGGATACGTCTTATATACAACAAAGTGTGCTGGCCCTTGTGGTCACTGCAAGGAGGTGAGGGGGCACTCAGACCATCTTAGGATTGTGACACCAGTGGCACTCTCACGTTTTTTGAAGTCTTTACACCTATGTTTGAAGTGGACTGTTTCATTATTCACTATTACCACATAATAAGTGTGCTATGCTTGCATGAGTTTGTATTTCAACCACTGTATATTAATTGAGTCACTTATTGGTTTCCTGTTTATATTGGGGACACTCAAGGGGAGTGTTGTTTTATGTATGTTTATCTGTGTGCTTTTATTTTTATTTATCTGTTAAGATTTTGCATGTGTGTATGATTATTTTACATATGCATATCAAATACGATTTTTAGCGCTACACCATTTATATTTTTCTATGTATTGTTTACTTTTGGTATAAAGGAGGGTGTTGGCAGCTTTAAGTAGTTTATTCATCCGAGCGCAGGAGGTCCTATTATTATAATGCACATGGCTGTCATACATTTCAGGGTTCCTCATAGTATCTTAGGGCCCCTTAGATTGCAGAAAGGTTGTTTGGGCTCATTCTTCCCTGCGTCAAATCTTGCCTTTCATTGGAAAAGTGATCCCTGGTAGATTAGGAGGCATTATGACAGTGATGACAGGCCTTCTCACTGCCTGTTTTTAAAACCCCCGAAAAATCCTGAAGCACCGTGCCATAACCATGTGTACTGCACGCAATTTCAGGGTGGTTGTGGCGTGGCCCCATGCGATTAAATGGATTATGCTCAGTGGTGATACTTCCTGCTGAATGCAACATGAGGTTTATTTTTGCTGCAGACTTGGCATGTCTACAGCCCTGAGTGGCTACACACCAATCTTTATGTGGGTAGTCGGGGGGCGGGGCTAAAACCAAGGTTTCAACCATCTGCTTTTACTGCCCTCTGGCTGCCTGTGTGATCAAGCCCCTAGGGAGCTAAAACATCTTCCTAGTTGGGCACCAAGATGCTCCCCTCCCCTGTGCATGAAGTCTAGAGACAAGTGTAGACAAAATGGAGCCCTATGCAGGGTAGAAGCTTTGGTTTCCCCCATCCATTTGATGGATATTGATATGGTTTGCACTAAGCGCAGAACATCTGCTCCATTTGTCTTGTATTTATGGCATAACCCCTACCCCTCAGATACCAACTGCCTACAAGTCCTCCCTTGTTAAATGGCAGACAGGTGCACAGTTTTGACTATCCTCCAGGTTTACTACAAGAACACTCTTGCTAGGATTCATGGACATCCTAGGTGGCCTTGTGGATGATCCAGCTCTGAGACAGACCAAACATTTTAGTATTTTATAAAGACTAATATTATTAAACAGGTTTTATGTAGCACCAATGGTTTGCAAAGCGCTTTACAATATAATGGAGACAGTACAGTTACAATTCAGTACAAGCAGGTTAGAAGGTCTGCACCTCTTAAAAGTCTGCAGCTCCCAAGATTAACACTTTTTTCTGGGAAAAAATCATGATCTTATGATCTGTTCCTCTGAATAGTGCTGGCAACTAGCCTCATATTACTAGCAGAAAAATGCAGAATGGTCCCCTCCATCCTGAAAGTGTGTAAACTACATCCTCTTGTGTGAATAAAGATCAATGTGCAGTATTTCTTACCTTTCTCCACCCCTATTTCAACCACATATCTCTCCCCTGTCATTACTGGCACATATCTCCACTTTTATTACTGTCACATATCTCCTCCCCATTGCCACCACATATCTCCACTCCCACTACCACCACATATCTTCTCCCCCATTACTATCAAATATCTCTAACCCCATTAGAATCACATATCTCCACTCCCATTGCAATCACCTATCTCTCCCTCCATTATCATCACAAATCTCCACTCTCAATACCACCACATACCCCCCCCCCCCCCATTACTAACACATATCCCTAACCGCATTACTATCACATATCTCCATTCCCTTTACCATCCCCAATCTCCTCCACCATTACCATCACATATCTCTACTCCCATTACCACTACATATCTTCTCCCCTATTAATACCACATATCTCTAACTCCATTGCCATCACATATCTCCAATTCCATTACCATCACCTATCTTCTCCTCCATTACCAGCACATATCTCCACTCCCAATACCACCACATATCCCCCCCATTACTAGCACAAATCTCTAACCCTGTTACGATCACTTATCTTCACTCCTGTTTCCACCACAAATCACCACCTACATTACTACCACATATCTTCTCCCCCATTACGACCACATATCTTTAACTTCATTACCATCACATATCACGACTCCCATTACCATCACCTATCTCCTCCTCTATTACCAGCACATATCTCCTCCTCCATTACCAGCACATATCTCCTCTCCCAATACCACCACATACCCCCCCCCCCCATTACTACCCCCCACATATTTCCAACATCAACATATCTCCACTCCCATTTTCATCATATTTCTCCACTTCAGTTACCAGCACATATCACTTCCCCCATTACTCCACATATCTCTTACCCTATTACCACAAAATAGCTCCTCCCTCATTACAACCACATATCTTCACCCCCATTATCACTACATACAGTATTTTCACCCCTATTATCACCACATATCGCCACATATCTCCTCCAACATAGCACATCTCCTCCAACATTATCACCACATATCTCCATCACCATTACCACCATATAGCTTCACCCCCATTATCACCACATTTCTTCACCCCCATTACCATCACATATATCCACCACCTTTACTACCACATATCTCAATGCCCATTATCGCTAACAACTCTACTGTAATTATTACCAAATATCTCCACACCCATTACCATTTCATATATTCAGAGCTTACAAAAAAGATCTTCCTTTTTCTGTAAAAGAGACATTAAATTATGGTAAGTCTCCGCCATTTTTGTGCAGAACTCTTTCCATCCCAGTTCATACTAACACCAACTGTGCAGAAAACATGGCAGGTAGCATATTACAGTATGAACCTGGAGGCAAGTAATTGTGTATGTCTCATAGTGTAAAAACAATGGAAGGCCTACTTTGCTGTGTCTTCTCTTGGGACCCTGCTATACCCCCAATGGCAGCCATGGTGCAATGAGGTTAGTGAATGAGGTGAAACTTTGCTGACTTCCAATATTCAATCATGTGTAAGCAAATATACAGATTTTATTTTACTTTCCTTACACGTGATTGGGCACTCTTTGACAAGTGAAATTTCATCTCATTCATTAAGCTAAGGGAACATTCATATGTAAAGTGCAGAGCCTCTTTGCCTTTAGTAAATCAACCCAAGTGTCTCCCTATAGCTTCCCTATAACCTCCTTTCTGTAATCCTGTGCATTTTCCTGTAGGTTCCTCCTATAACCCTGCTCTCATTCCCTCTCTCCCCTGTATGGCACAGTCTTTTGTTAAGGATTATATGATCTCCATCACCCGTCTGTTACTGGGTCTGGATTCAATGCCGGGTTCTGGATTCCTGTGCGCTGTAAGTTCATTTTCTGATTTGCTCCGACCTTCTAATGTTTGCATAACATTAATACAACTGCTTCATATGATTGTAGCAACTTAGACCATCAAACTTAACTGATTAAAAAAAAAAAAGCTTTTTTAGCTCCATGATGAACTTTTATCTCTGAAAACAGCTCAGGAGAATTATATATACTATATGGAAAACAGTTTGTGGACACCTGACCACCACACCTACCCATCAAGACTACCAAAAAAGTAATAGAGGTTTGGGCTATACATATGTACACTTTTGATCCAATTCTTCCTTTGCGCCAGGCAATGGCTAAAGATTGCAAGATGATTTCTTGCGAAGCATTAACTTTTCATTTTCCCGACACACATAGACCCAGGTATCCTGTCTTTACAAACAAGGATTACTTTGGCTCTCAGCCTATATAATCCCAAATAAAAGCCAGGATAAGTAAGATTAACAGTAAAGCACTCAAGGAAAAATAAAAAGCATCATAAATATGTAAAATATAATGTACTTTAACTGAGCCTTCATTAATATTTTTGGATGTAAAATTCGGAAAAGCCATCATAATTTAGGAACTCGTGGGGTGTCCTGGAAGCATGGAATAAAAAAGGAAGATATATTCTTGCACCATTATAACTATAGCTGTTGTGTCTGTCTTTTTTTTATATATATTATTTTAATGTGGTTTCTTTAAAATAATATTATTGTGGTCTTCTAAAGGTGAACTATAGGGTATTACAGGCTTATAGATATACATGTGAATGTGATCAGCTTGGTGTTGTTGAGTCAGGTTAGGGGGTCCCCAAACGAGATTTTTCAGATGAGATAATGAGTCCAAATTGATAAAGAAAGGTGCATTTATTACACTGCAGTGGAGATAATATCGCATACAGAAGGTCACCTTGTACGAGGCGCACCAAGGTAATCAATATATCTAATCTCTTTAGCTTTTCAACTGATACATATATAGTCATAAAGTCCGTATATCCGTATGATCGTATAGTTTTAGTCCAATCAGATCCTTATACAGTGAAGGAAATAAGTATTTGATCCCCTGCTGATTTTGAATGTTTGGCCACTCACAAAGAAATGATCAGTCTAAAAATAGAATGTTCGGTGTATTGTAACACTGAGAGACAGAATAGCAACAAAAATTCTAAAGAAATGCATGTCTAACAAATTATGCACTGATTTGCATGTTCATGAGGGAAATAAGTATTTGATCCCCTATCATTCAGCAGGATTTATGGCTACCAGGTGTATTTCATACAGGTAACAGGCTGAGATTAGAAGTATTTTCTTAAAAGGAGTTCTGCTAATTTCATTTTGTTACCTGTATAAAAGACACCTGTCCACAGGTGCAATCAATCAGATTCCAAACTCTCCACCATGGCAAAGACCAAACAGCTGTCCAAGGATGTCAGGGACAAGATTGTAGACCTACACAAGGCTGGACTGGGCTACCAAACTATCGCCAAGCAGCTTGGTGAGAAGGTGACAACAGTTGGTGCAATCATTCGCAAATGGAAGAAACACAAAACAACTGTCAGTCTCCCTAGTTTGCACCATGCAAGATTTCACCTCGTGGAGTGTCAATGATCATGAGAACAGTGAGGAATCATCCCAGAACTACACGTGAGGATCTTGTCAATGATCTCCAGGCAGCTGGAACCAGTCACCAAGAAAACAATTGGTAACACACTACGCCGACAAGGATTGAAATCCTGCAGTGCCCGCAAACTCTCTCTGCTCAAGAAAGCACATGTCCAGGCCCGTCTGAAGTTTGCCACTGAACATCTGAATGATGCAGAGGAGGACTGGTTGAAAGTGTTGTGGTCAGATGAGACCAAAATCGAGCTCTTTGGCATCAACTGAACTCGACGTGTTTGGAGGAGGAGGAGGCCTATGACCCCAAGAACACCAACCCAACTGTTTTGTGAAGGGGATCAAATACTTATTTCCCTCATGAACATACAAATCAGTGCATCATTTGTTAGACATGCATTTCTTTTGAATTGTTTGTTGCTATTCTGTCTCTCAGTGTTACAATACATCTACCATTCGATTTTTAGACTGATCATTTCTTTGTGAGTGGGCAAACATTCAAAATCAGCGGGGGATCAAATACTTATTTCCTTCACTGTATGCTTAACAGCAAGCTTGAAGTTAAATGGGTTTTAAGATCATGTCACTAGTCCAAAATAGAAACTTATGGTCATCCGCCATGACAGTTGCTGGTTCAAACTGGTTTGACCACAAAGTGCTTTTCTTAAACTTGAAACAGGAAGGTAGGCGGTTAGTTCACCAGATGGATGCTTACATCACAGGCACAAACTTCAACTTTCATTTTATAAGAAAAGGAAGGGTAAATACAGTAAAAACTCTTAAAAATGACAGTATATACTGTATGTTTACAAGAACTTTCATTGTAAGACCCCCAATATTTCTACTCAGTGTTTATTAAAGTGGAAGTCCAGTCAAACAGTAACTAAGAATAAACCTACTCTCACCCCCATTTTAAGCCTATTTTATCTACCTTGTGAAATGAAAGCTCTATATATTTACTTATTCTGAAGCCACTCCGGTCTAGTCACATGATTGGGTCCCAGCGGCGGCTTCAGTGTAGAGGAGGGACAGCTGACAACAAATGCCCATAGTAAGCCTATGGGTGACATCACTGCCCCAACTCTACGGCCATTGTTGGTGATCTCTCCTCTACACTGAAGCCAACCACTTGGGAGATCATGTAACCAGACCAGAGCACCCTCAGAATCAGTATGAACCATTTTCCTTCACATGGTAGATAGAATAGGCTTAGAATGGAGGAGAGAGTAGGTTTAGGCTTAGTATTTGACTATACTTACACACTTTAAAGAATATGTAAACCCTCAACCCATTCCATTTTGCCTAGTGTGGTCAGCTTTTAAAGTAAAGGGACTGGCAGGAATACTAGAGATTTCACACAAAGGAGGTGTTGCGGATGCAACAGCATGTACTATATACAGTATTGTGTGTTAATATCACTTGAAAAGTAGATGGCACTGTACACTAAGGTTACCAATTGTGCATATCTGTAAAACTTGTTGGTTCTTTCTCTTCTCTCTTTTTATAACCAAGATGTCTGCTGTTACAGTTTGCTGAAATGCTTTGTATGTTTGCAACTTAAGCCACACAAGTAAACCAAGTTCTGCCTCATCACAAGCTACTAGTGTCTTCTCTAACACATAACCAACAGGAGGTAATACAAAGAGAACAGGATACTTTTTGTAATGCAAGTACATGGTGCAGCAGGAATATGAAATGTTGGATTTACATATTGGTATGTTGGTATACATATATAAAAAAAGTCCCAGCGCTGCTTCTATACTTCCGATCTCCAATGACAGATGTGTGCAGCTTCTACTATCTTGTGATTCACACAATAATACAGCTAAAAGAAATATCTTAGTGCAGAGCTCCCTTACTAAACGCACCACAATACTAAAGTAAAACAACATTCCCACCAATGAAAATACTCCCTGTGCACAAATACCACCACACAATATGAGAAGTCCATAATCAAATATATATACACAAATAAAATAAAAACATGCAAAAACAAGAACAAAAGAAAAATATCTTGTGCAATCACTTGTGCAATCTAATGCAATTATACAAATACAGATATAAATATTTAAATATCTTATACAATCCAATAGGGATGTGCTTGTCTGCAACATAAAGTGTAGAAACTTCCCACAGTGCTATCACCCTTAACCTCCCTAGTGGTCTGATTGTATACGTCCATATTTCTGTGCTCAAAGCGGTACATTTTTTTGCATGGAAATATGTATTTTTTTATTGTAGGCCTGTAATTTTTAGGAATAACTCACTGAAATCTATCCGAACAAGAGTCTAGTAAACATCCCGGGTATGATAAAACTTGAAACACGAAATCATAAATTATAATTTAATAAATAATCATCATAAAAAATAATAATATAATAATAAATTTAATTCAATAATATAATCAAACCAAAAACACTGAAATTTGAAATATAGCGCCAAGTTCGCACATCACTGAGCAAAGTCGCAGAATCGTTTTCAGTGTCTGATGAGGAATTTCCCCCACGAATCATTATCACTCAATTCTGCAAGTGGTTCTGATTTACTATCGCTGTTCTCTAGCCGGTCTAAAACTGATTTTGACCTAAAGGGACACTTTTTGGACGCCATGGACGTTTCTCAGTTTCCAGGCAGAAAGAACAGTAAAAATGCAGGCAGGGCACAGGACAAAGCACTCGGGACAAAATGTATGTGAAATGGTTTGATACAGTAATGTTATACTATGTGATTTTAGTGATTTTAGTGAATGTCACTTTTCGTCATTTTTCAAATTTCCCGCCGTTTCGTCCCCCGTACGTCCCAACGATCGCAGGGGACGGAACCCAGATGACAGATGCCGGCATCTGCCGGATTACATTGCCGGGGACACTGCAGGAGGGACATCGCGGGAGCGCAGGACAAAGTAAGTGATCGAGGGATCGCAAAGCAGCGTCGCATGGTAAGCCCAAGTGTAGCTCGGGGTTACCGCTTGTGGTACTGAAACTTTACCCCGAGCTACACTCGGGAATACCGCCAGGGAGGTTAAGTAAAAGTGTCCCTCACATATATATAAAAACCAAAGACAGACTCTCTTGAGCAAATGAAGCAAATATTCCAAGAGTGCACCTCCTCCTTCTTGCATGAATCTGGGGCGCATATCACCTTATAAGTTGGACCCCTATAATTACATGTGATCAATACATGTATACAGGGGCGGACTGACAACTCATGGGGCCCCCGGGCAATAGGGGATCATGGGGCCTTTGTGTCCTTGCCCAAACTCAAAAAAGCCTATGATAAAGGTACCAGGGGCATCTCATGGGGTTCCCTACTGACATCGGGCCCTCGGGCAGTGCCCGAGTTTCCAAATGGTCAGTCCGCCCCTGGTGTCAGTGTGAACTTATCTAAGAGGCAGA